GCGGGAGCGCATTTTCATGCTGGCCCAAGACCCGGACTTCAACTTCTTCGAGGCGCTTTCTTCATTCTAGTTAGTCATTGGGTGTCGTTACAATAGCCTTTTTTTAGGTTAGTCTTTCTAGTCATTGGGTTATTCTTTGTTGCGGAAGGGCTTCCAGCTCGTGGACCCCGAGATCCTGCGAAGCCTTCCAGCGACTGATTGGCACAAGGAGTCTCGACCTGAGCTCTCAACGTGGATGGAGCACAAGCCCTCGCCTTGGGCCTCGGAGAGGCTGCGGGCCATTGGGAACGTTGTTTTTCCTGATATGGCCGCATTCGCATTGAACATCATAGGACACGAGCTGAAACAGCATTGATGTCTTTTAATTTGTCTAGATCTTAGATCAAATTCAGGAGCTTTGAGCAGCATGTGATTTCACGCGCGTGGGGAAAACGCAACATGTTTCAATTAAACGTGCAATGATGACGAACGTATCATATGTGAACAGAGTTGCTTGAGAAATCTTGTGGTTTCTTGATGACCTTGTCTTTCAAACCTGCCTTGTTTAGCCTCCCGAGCAGTGAGCAGTCTGACATGAACGGCTTGGTCTCTCATTGGAGTTTTTACTTGGCTAGAAGATTTTGAAGCCATGTAAAAGCTCCAATATCACCGCTCTGGGCTCTGGGCGCATGGCTCATAGGCTCATAGGGCGGCAACCTTTGCTAAAATTAGCTCCAAGTACTTCAATCATCTCGCCACGGCTTTTCATTGAAGGTTAGATGTTGCAGCTAAACAGGACATGTGTATCGTGTGTGTGTGAGCCTTTCGTCATACGTTCAACGCTTTCAACTGAATTTTTCGATCTCCATGGGAAGTCTTAAATAAACAATGATACACTTTTGTTAAACGGATGCTGTGCAATTACAATCTTGGGGCAAAGCAATCCTCTCTGTCGTCCCATGGCCTTCTGGTCTTTCTGGGGTTACAGCTTCGAAGTGAGCAGTGGCCTCAGTTCAACTCTGAAGCTCCAGTTCAATGTTTCGGCGTGTGAGGGTTGAAGACGGTTGAAGATCATTTGAGGTTTGTGATAACGAACACAATTGCAAGCATCAGTTCAATGTTCGGCCCTGAACGAACACAAACATATTCAGTGGATCAGGGTCCTGAATGATGGTCAATCCCTTGCAAGTGGAGTCTCCACCTTAGAGCCATGTTAGCAGCTCAGTTTCCACCTTAGATACTTCGTTGCCCGAACAAGGCTTACCAATGCCCTTGGCTGCTGTGGACACGTTGAGCGGCGATGAGGCTCACGACGGTCCGGGGCTTGGACCTCCACGTGAGCTGACGAAGCTTCGTGCGCCAAGACGAAGAAGACCTGGGACAGGTTTCCGAGTGAAAAGAAAGCAGATCTTAGTGACTGTTGAACCCCAGAAGCTCCACTACATCATATCATCACGCTGCGGCTGCAACGCTGACTGCTTCGACCCTTTCAGAAGAAAGCACACCTTGTACAATGACTGGGTCAGACTTCGGAAGCTGCTCGGTTCCATGACCAAGTTGGAGCAGGACAATCATGTCAGGGACTTGGTCTTGTTCTCGTGTTTATTTCAAACACCATTCGAAGGGTGACGTGCAGTTTCCAGTCTCATCGGCGTTCATTTTGCTTTTGATCGCTTCAAGGTCTTTGCCACAATGCAGTCAGGATTGGGATCTGGTCCTGCGTGTCGGGGCAGTCGGAGCTTGAAGCTGTGTGGTGAGACTATATGTAACCGTGGTTTTGTCAAGATGCTTTCTATGGGCAAGTCACGTTTTCGAAGGATGCGGGAAGCCCTTATGCAAGGGGCGGAGCATTGCCCCTTTGATGCGCGGTTCATAACAAAGGGGCCTCGCGAACCGTCTGCAGCATGGCTAGCTTGTCATGAGTTCTTGTCAAAGATATGGTTGGAATGTGCGGAACGCCTCCCAGATGGGATAAACAGTCGAAAGAGGCCCCGCCAGGGCCTCAACAAGCTTGACAAGCCTGGACTAGACCGCTCGGAGATCAGACATCTTCCACCGGGATCGATTCGTGATTACTGGATGCAGTGCTGTGCCAGCAATGAGGGGCACACCATCTCTCGAAAGCTTTTCGCTACAGTCTCATGGTGAAGATTCGGTTGTTTGGTTTTCCTTTCCTTCATTTTCCTTCAATTGTATTCGCTTATAAGAGTTTAACCCATGGGCACGATGGTGCGGGTTTGAGATTTGTGTGATGGATCAGTCCTCAGGTCTGGCAAACCGCTTTTGCGGACAAGCTCCGTATAAGGTTTGCCACGCACCACAAGCGTTGCTCACAATGTATCAAGCACCGGTTGATCCTTCGCAAGCTTGGCAACTGTGCCCCCGCAAGGCGGGCGCAGCAGGCCATGTTGGAACGACACCTTCAGAGGCAATACAAGGATCGACAGAAGTACTGGCTGGTCAGGTCGCTTTCTCGTGCGCAATCAATCAACCCTCCCATTTACGTGGTGGCGGGGGTGATTGACGGCATGGATTCAGCCAAACATGGCTGGCCCCGGTCGGCCAAGTTGAACGCCAAAGACTTCGCTAGCTTCAACAGACCCCGCCTCACGAACACAACGTTGATCTTACACGGGCATAGTGTTCATGTGCACCTCTCTCCGCACAACCTGTCCACGAATTCTTCCAGAAGCTGCGAGATACTGGCCCACGGCCTCACGGCATTGAGCCGTTCTGTCGACCTTCAGGCCGTATTCCTGCACTTGCAGGCTGACAACTGCAGCCGTGAGACAAAGAACCAGGCGACGATCAGGATGATGGCTTCGCTCGTCGGCCAGTGCAAACTGGCCGGGGCGGAGCTGTCATTCCTGACCTCAGGGCATAGTCATGAGGATATAGATGCTATGTTTGCCCTTGTGCGGACCCACATCAATTCTCATCCCGAGCTTGAGACGCCAGAATGCTTCCAGCAGCGCATTCAAGGTTTCTTCGCTGACAGCCGTCGCAGACCATATGAACGACAGCGCTCGGTACATTTGCTCACGCAGTTTAGGGATTGGTTGCTTGCCTGGTATAAGCTGACAATGCATTTTGATTGATACCGTTGAAGTTGTCACGTCTTGTTTTAAGTTGAAAGGTTTGCGCTTGGTTTGTGGTTGAACTAAGTCGTCACCACAGGCGGGCTTGCTTCCCGCAACCCCGACAGAACACCACGCCCATATATTATTATTCTTCGCTCAAATCTCTGACATGTCGTCTCTTGCTCTTGCTGTAGGAAAAACTGGCTGTCAGAGCGCTATGGTCATCATGCGCACATCTTTGGAATTGGGGGGCCTGGCGCCCCCCATTCTTTCAGATTGCGCAGGTTTATCGACACAGGCGACCAACTCTTTTGTTAAACTGTGTTTTTTTTGCCAATGACTAATGGAATTGAAACTCTCTTTTTGAAGTTTCTTTGTAGGTTTCAGCCGAGATGATCTAGACTCCAAATTCTGGAGTGGTGTTCCATATCGTCCGGATGATCGGGATGTGATTTGCGAGCCCGGGACCCGGAAAGCTGTTTCTCTTTTTACCTTTGTTAGAAAGCAGTAAGGACCAAGCAGTTTATGTCCGATGTCTCCTACAACCCGCCCATGCTCTACCTCCCTTGGAGTGTCATTGCCCAGACAGTGGGCGATGCGCCTCCAGGCTGACACAAACATTGTAACCAACACTTGAGAAAAGTGTGCCTTGATCTTTTCTGGCAGCCTTCATCGATACCCCAGAGAACCCGGACAGCCAAGAGAACAAGGCCTTCAGAAAGTATGCAAAGTTGATGCGTTCTGACCTCAGGAGCGGTGTTCCTGAAATGATCCGACAGCAAATCCGGACAAAACATACAAATCAATGGAACCACCAAAAGGGGATGCCAGGCACTAGGAACAATCTCTTGGTTTCAATTCCTGAGAATTGTGAATTGGGAACTGCGTGAGGTGAACATCCTTTCGACATGCATGAAGCCGCGAAGCAGTTGGAAGACATGTCGTATGGCCATCCGACCCACAGCCCCTTCTTGGATGTGAGTTGGCACGGGCCCCATGGTTTGTTCAGACTCTGCTGATATGCTTTTGCGCTCTGTGCCTCTGAGGGCTTTGCAGCACGCTGGACCTAGAGTCGGCCTGGCGGTTGGGCCACCGGCGGGGGCTCGTGGTGAAGATCTAGAAGCTGTAACGGGCCAAGATCTTTCTTGTGTTTGAAGAGTTGGTGAAATTTTCGAGATCAAGGTTGCCAACGCACTTCGATTGGGGAGGAAAAGACCTGAGCCTGCGGACGAGTCCCGCTATCGAATAGCGAGGAGGGATCAAGCCCTTCATCAAGCTGCGTCCCAGCTTTGGATCGAAGGTGTTCCCATGCGAAAGGCATTGGATATAGTTTCAGGTGTGATTTCAAAGGTCACACATCGTTAGGTGGGAAAGGCGGTGAGGGGGTAACTCACCTGCCATTACTGGCTGCAGAAAGCATTTTGGAGGTCTGACTTCACACTTCATGCTTGAGATTGGAAAACTGCAAATATCTAGGAATGATTGAATCAACACATCTACATACCAGCTGGGCCTCCAGATCGCCTAGTACTGCGCTGCAAAAAGAACACAGGTATCTTCGGGCAATCTCCATGTTTTGTGAAGAATCCGGGAAAATCACGTTGGTTTTGTGAATTGGGAATCCTTCACAGGTTTGTGAATAGACCAAACCACCAGATCCGTGAATAAAGTTGTCGTGTTTATTCACTAAATCCAATGGGAATCGCCCAAATACTGTGAAACTATGCCAATCATGGCTTGAAATCTGCGGGCAAGCATTCGCCGAGCTGGGCCGTGAATAAAACTGACGTCTTTATTCATGCAATGGGTATGCAATCTAACATCACATTTTGTGAAGAAACCTGCATTCACAAATTGGGAGATTCTCAAAGACTAGCTTCACACGTCTTGGACAACATGTTGACTGATCTTCTGAGTTGCCCCACATTTGGCCAGGTGATCATGGCGCCGAAGAAACGCACCTCAGGCGGAGGTGAGCCCAAGAGTAAAGCGGCAAAGAAGGCGAGTGAGGGCATCACTCCGATTGCAGCAGATTCCATGGCTCTCCCACATCTCACCATCTTTCAAGAGTGGTCGTTACTGTGATGCATGCTTTGTCAACTAGTTGCTACAAAACACAAGACTGAAACATGTTCAGACGACGCTCCAAACAGCTTGCTGGCCTGAGGAAAGAACACTTGGAGAAGCATAACAAGACATTGGATGTCTTCCTCTCGGAGAACCTGGCTGACGAGGCGGGTTCCTACCCTTTCATCGGTCGAAAGTATTTTAGCCACCGACGCGTTGGAGGCCTCAGCTATCGGCTTTTACACTTGGTTGGAGAAGACATTCCCTCCAGAACCGGGTGTGCGGTGGGCTCATCTTGAATTCATGAGTGCCGGTTTCAAGTGGGCTCCCCCACGTGTGTCGGTTTCAAGGCAATACTTGACTGGAGAGCTGATGGTCTCTTCAAAGTGCTGGCAATTGCGACCGTATCAGCTACCGCACAGGGCAGACTTCGGTCTGCGTGGGACGGCAGACAGCGTCAGTGTCTCAGTTCAATCCCTTCAAAGCCATGCTGAAATGGATTCCCTAATTGTCCAAGGAGGTCCAATCGAATCTCGCTTTGCTGATTCTTCTCAACGGCTTTATGAGCAATGCTGACGTGCCCGGTGTGGAAAAGCTCACCATGACTGTGGTTCAAAGTGCTTGGTTGCAGTCGCCAGCGAACAGGTTGAGGATGCAGGAAGACTTGGGGATGGAGGACAGCGTGAACCTGCTAGGCCCCCAGCACATATTCGCGGTCAAGGGATGGAACCGCTGCATCGCTCTTCTGGGGGGTGTGCTACTGTGGCTTCATGATCCCAGCTCTGGTTGAGGCCAGGCCTTGTTGTTGTGGACCTTCAAGATCATCCATAGAAAAACAACCTGTGCGCAACATGCTCATGTCTAGGACCAAAACAGTTGGCTACTAACATTGTTTGCGAGGCCCTGCCAAGCGAGGTCAGAAGGAGACAAATTGATTTCAAACCCAGCAAATAAATTAAATTAGTAGCTCTGACTTACTTTCCAGGAGTTTCAGCACTATCTACTGCAACAGCGTGGAGCCAGACATCACACGCGTGGTGAATGTGAATCGTGGTCAGGGCCCGAGACTCTTCAAGCACGGCTGCACTGCTAGATGTCGCTTTCATTTAAAGTGCTAGAGCTAGTTTTTTGCCCTCTCAACTTGTTTGTCCAAGAGTCCAAGAGTCCATTTTTCAATGGCAGGAGTTACAATGTCAACTGTTGGGGTTCGGCGAAGGCCGAACGCCTTCAACATTGTCTGGCAGTTGGAACTGCTGGTTCGCAGCGGTGTTAGCGAGCAGAACGCGATCACCTCTTTAGAGGCCAATGTATGAGTCTTCTTCTATCTTCGTCTCAATCAAACAAAAGTTGCAATCAATTTGCAATCAAACATGCATTCTTCTTGTGACCAGTTTTGAAATTTGAATGTCTCTACCAGACCTATGAGAATGCCTCCCAAGTGGCCAGCGTGTACTCTCTCGGCAAGCAAGAGAGCATGGCGGCCGTTGCCCTGATGCATCGGGTGCCAAGGGCCACCAAGGATGCACTCACCCTGATGGTGAGGCGGGGATTCTATGGGGACGTCCTATTCAAATTGGTGTTGCCATCATGGAAAATCTATTTTGGGCTTCCCTGCAAGGCAGTATGGGATGCCTCGGTTTCTCACTCATGAATCCATTGCCAATGGGCTGCTGAGTGAGAAGCACTGTACGGCAACAGGAACACTTGGGAACTGGAAGCAGGAGCTGACCAACACCGAGGCATTGCTTGAGTTGCTAGTCAATAGAATGGAACGAGACTGGCTAGCGACACCTCCAAAGCAGCGTCGACCTTGGCACGTCAAAGACCTCGACACTTTGTTCCAAACTGGAAACATGTGATCGGGAGTACTTTCAATTTCAATTGACCTGAAAACGCATCAATAGACCCTATCCCCCAGTCACTGCACGGCAGCCGAGGAAGCGCTACAGAGGAACTGCGGTGGATTCGTGGCATGCCTTGACGCCTACTTGAAAGCAGTGCCCAAGGAATATGCTGACAAAACTCTGGTGGAGATCCACAAATCGTTTTTTGGACTGTCATCACTTGGGCTCATGTTCTTTTCAGGCTTAAACTAAGAAAGACCGGTTGCAATGTGATTCTCTAAGGTTTGAGCTTCGACATGGGGACGCGGACATCACTTCGATGTTGGAAAACTGTGTGCCTCCATGTGATCTCTCCCGAATCAGCATCTTCAGCCACCACCTTATGAAGTACCGCCAAGAGGCCTTTTGTTTTACCCTACTTGCCCGAAAGTACATGGAACTTATCTGCAAGCGGGTTCCAGCCTCATTGCCTGTCTCGGCAGGCCGAGAAGCAGACCCGGGATCGAGCCGCCGTGACCTTTGGCAGCAATCAAACAGATTGGAGTTGATTGGAGTTCTTTGATTTGACAACTGAATCATTGGAAGAAACCATATCAACAATATTGAGTTCTGTAGTTATAAGCGTTTGTGGGTGAGGCTGTCGCAGCAGCTCTTGCAGACCACCATGGAACAGCTGAAGCTTTCGATAGAAGCTGACATGCTGAAACTTCGGCAATGGATGGGGCGCTGGGATGTCTTTGCTGGTCAACAGGTAGGGTGCTCGATCTTTAAAATGAACAAATCGTTGGTTCGAACATGCTTGAATAATAAGTGTATGTTTCAGGGGATGCTGGGCGTCAAGTACATGGAGGACCGCTATTTGAGAGGCAAAGCTGTTTGCGCAGACTTCATGGAGCAAAAGCACAAGCTGATGTGCTTCAACCACCTGAATCTGGGTCACGCGGCCATTGTCAGCATGCAGTCACAGATGGGGCCTGACGGGTTTCTGAGCTGCAATGGGATCAAGAAGGAATAATATACCAATCATCATTACCAATCAGTCTATGTGTTTTGGAACATGTGTGTTGCCAACGCTTAGACCTCAGGATCACCATCATCGTGCTGGATACCACCTTGTGGCCTTCGCGCGCTTCGGAAGAAACATAATCTAAAGCCGAAATCAGAATCATCAATTCGTCTCAACGCAAAGGAAATTAAACATATCACCGCTCTTGAACAACTTTGAGGCCACCTTTTGATCGACGAGGCCATTACTTTGAGCCAGTCCCTCTCTTCGGGGAACGCGAACACACTATGCTTTGCATTTTTGCCTCAAGTTCATTCTTCAACAACGATGGCAACGGTGATGAAAAACAGGAGGCTATTAGAAGACAAAGTGTTGGCTTGTTTGGGCAGCAAAACTGTTAGATACTGTTATAGAATTTAAGAGGAGGATGCTTCAGAAAGCTTGCTTGGGAATGTTCAATCATATGTGTGCTTGCCCTAAGTCTCATGAATTCCTACGAAGTTTCCCTGAACTATGCGCCGCCAGAGCACGAGGGAGACAGGCGGAAAACCAGCCAACAATGCCCTATGGTTGCATTGCATTGAGTGATGTGCGCACACAGTAAATATTTTTGCATGTTTGAAAGGTCGCGATAACTAGCTTTGCAAAGCATATGAAAAGCTAATTGCAGGTATCGCTTCAATGTGTGGAACCAGTCCGACGTGGCAGAAGAGTCGAGCCCTCTTGGGATCCATCAACGGCATCCCCCGGAGCAGAGTTCACGATTTGCAAAATCCAGACACCGAGCACCCGCTCGCTCCCCACTGGCGTGTCCCTTTGATGAAGAATGGTTTGAAAGAATTTGAAATCGCTCTGTATACCATATTGTAATTTGTCGTCATTTCCCCTATGCTTGTACCAACCATGGCAGGTTCAACAAAGGGGGATCAAGGCCACTGTGCAGATCATATCCAGCCTGTTGGATGGAGTGGTCACCAGCCCCAAGCAACCGGTCTTGCTGATTGACCTGTTGCCATCGAGGTGCAAGTGAGAAAGCCGGTTTTATGATTTTGTAATCAATGGATTGAGACAAACATAACATAACATATCATAACATAACAACCTGTCAGATTCTGTGAGTGGAGCCGAGCTGCGTGGAACCTACAAAAGCGGCTGCTCATCGATGAAGACCTACTGGAGAACCATCCCGACATCAGGTTTGCAGCTCTGTATCACGCAGACCAAGCTGGTGAGCACGTCAACTGCAAGGAAACCATCACCGGTCTCGCCATGTCTGAATACTGGGATGTTTCGGAGCAAGCAGGGTCAAAGTCGAGGGGCCGTGCTGTATTTGGTGAGTCCATTCCCAGCCTGGAATCTTTGGCTGTGGTCGACGGGGAAGTGAAGACCCTCAACAGCAACAAGTAATGAGTTAGTTATTCATCAACCGTTTGATATTGCTGAGTGTCGTTGGACCCTGAAAATCTTAGAGCAGTCTCGGGGTGCCCGAAAACAAATTACTGTTGCAACTGCCATCCCATCAGCTCCCAACTCAGGATTCCAGAAATGGTGATGCAAAAGCTGAATGGTCAACCGGAATTCTTGAAGCGGATCTTGGAAGACATGCAGTCGGATACGAAGTTCACATCATCTCTGAAGAGTTGGCGTGAGTCGTCTGCTACACCGACACCTTCGGCCAACACCGCAAGCTCCACCACCCCGCGGCCTCCAAGGTCCCTGGCCACGCCTGAGTGGGGCACTGAAGGGCCGTGGAACTTCCGTCGGAAATTGACTTCTCTGGAATCGCTGCCAGCTGTTGACTTCGAGCCACTGAACCCGACCCTTGGGAAAAATATGAATCAATTTTGCTTTGAAATTTGTGGGAAGCTAGCTTGGTCATGCTTGGTCAATATACCCCTTCACCTGAAGTGTTCAAATGGCAAGATATTAATAACCCTTGTCCAGGCTGGCTGGCATGGCAGCAGTTGCTGGCAAGCCAGAGCTTTTCGTGGTGATCACCAGGACCAACAACATCTGGCTCATCAACAGGGCCGAATCGGATTGCGAGCTTTCGGCTATGGAGATCTTTGGCTTCAACACGGGGACATATGTGGAGGTGCCTTCAGGCCAGAATTTACAAGGGGTTAGTTAGAATGCTTGGCAATGTGTCACACCTTTCACTAAAAGGCGAACATCGGATCTTCGATCATCGGATCATCGAACAGGTGATGGGGATATCCTGTCAACTTCGATCTCTTGGAACATCACCAAGGACAGTACGCTGATCGCATTGGCTGACTCAAAGCAGCTCACCACCGTCGCGGACCTTGTTTGCAAAGTGGCTAGCGATCGAGGGGTGATGGAAGTGAGAGTGGTTGACCACACTCTTCAACCAAAGGTGCAGGTGGGGTAATTAGTACAACTTTCAGAATTTGTCAGAACATCATGCATGACTCAAAGACACCCAAAGATATAGCTTCGAGTCTTGCCTTGAAAACACATGTCTCGGTGATTCACGCATGGCATCGCATGGCCAAAAAACAGCGTTGACCCCTGAAAGGCGGATGCTGCTGGCCTTCAGAAAACGCTCCAGTACAGGTACCAGGTCACCCCTTCGGCTCAAGTCAACAGTTTCAAGCCCAAGGAGATTGCGGGAGATGACAGAATGAACCTTCGCCCGCAAGTGCTCGGGGCTGTGTTGCAGGGCCGTTTCACTGACATCCAACGTTGCAGCCACTGCGGGATCGTGTGGGAGGCTGGGTTGGAAACACTTAGCAGCAGTTAGCAGAAATGTTTTGACAAAATAACAGGTTGACAGTTGTGATTTAGACTTGGCGGGGGCTGAAGGGACTTGGTTAACCCTTGCAGGTTCGTATTGGAAATGAAGTTCCAGCGACCGTGACTCCTGTACAGCCCAAATTCTGGTTGCTTTGCGGGCTGACTGTGAAGCAAAAGCACGCAGTCAAGCTGCGCTAGCGACTTTTGTATGTCTTCGGACAGATTCCGAAGAGATTGTGTTGCGAAGCTTTGAGGGGCGAATGGCGAGGGAGCCAACTACATATATATATATATAGACTTATATATAGAGAGAGAAAGAGTCAACTTTATAATGTATATTAATATCTCTTTGTATATATATATATATTTGTTGTTCAATGGATACTCTTTGGCGCCGTGCCATTCTTGAGTTTTGGTGGCTTTGCTTGAAGCAATCCCTAGAGATTGGAACAATCGTGCACATCAACACCTAAGCGGTGGACTGCCGGTGGAAGCAAACTGAGCTGAGGGCCCCAACATCTGTCCACATCCTTTCGGAACTTCACCTGTCAGCAGTTGTGCGTCATTTTTCCAAAAGATTTGGGAGCAATGGCAAGAGTCGATTTGGCTCAGGGTGGGTTAAGGTAGGTATTTGTTCCTTTCATGAGTGAAGGATTCTTGCAGTTCGTTAGCCGCATGCCCCTGGCTTCCGTCGATGAGCTTTCGGATGACAACACACCGGCCCCGGTAAAACCAGTGCCGAAACCGGGGCTTAAAGATCCGGCCAAACTCAAGATGTTGCCAAAGGCAAAGGTGAAGAGTTCGAGTTCGAGAAAGGTGATCAAAGATGATACCAAAAAAGAGACGAAAAAAAAGACCAAGAAAACCGACAAAGATCCAGACCCGCTGAAGGGTGCTGTGCTGAAACGTCCGAGCGCACTGAGAAAGCCCGTGGGCAAATGCTTCTACAAACAGCATGGTGTCTATGGATTCAAGATCGACAAGCAGCAAGTCATGACAGTGCCTTGGCTATTTGTCATTCACTGGAATATATTGGATTCGTACCAACAAGGGTTCACACATGTTCACATGCTTGTTCAAGCTCCCACCCAAAGAACGTGTCTTTCCACCCAATCATTGATTGAACTGAGTTCAAGAAAGTGCCCGACCTCAGTGATGAAACCAATGAAGAGATCAGCGATCCATGGCTGCAAAGCTACACCCATTGGAAGGGGGGTATGCAAACATAGAGTACAAGTTAATGAGTAGTGTTGAATTGGACGTGGGAACCGCAGGAAAGCATCAGGGATGCCTTGAAGAGTGGACCTGTTGCAGCTGCAGTGAGCTTGAAGGACCCTTCAACATATATCTGAGCATTTTCTGCTTTGCAACGGCTTGTAAAAATGTGATCCCATGCATACCCTCTATCACGTTGATTGTGTTGCAGGATGCAATGGTGGAAGCAGCCTTAGCAAAGGCCCGCGCGGATGCACCCCAGACCGGGGAGCCTTTGGATGGTTTGGGCATGGAGGGCGAGGAAGAAGAAGTTCTTGAGAACGATGACCAAGTTGAAGAGTCATTTGCTTCAAGCAAAGCGATGTCAATGTGAACTGAACACATGTTGAACTGAGAACACGTGTTGAACTGATGTTTGACTGAATGCCTTATCTCAGGTGAGCATCTTTCATGCCTCGCCTTTTATCTGAGCCTTTCGATCTGAGCGGCGCGTCGCGAGCTTTGGTGGACCAAGGACCCCATGCACTGCTGTCTCCACATGTTTTCTCCACACGTTGGTTCAACCTTGTTCCACAAGTGTTACAGTAGTTTTCACATGTTTGTGAACATGTTTGTGAACGGAACCTTGGAATGCCGAACTGTGTCGACAACCTTTGCAAGACATAGGTTGCGTTTTTGAATGAAGCTGGAATTGTTCCAAGCAAAAGCGATCGCGGCAAGCTGGAAACCAGCAAGACCTACTGTCTTGGAATGTGTGACTTGTATTGGTTTTGGGTCAAGGAGTGCACAGTTGGTTTCCACATGTCACATCCGCTCTGCATCGTTCAATTCAAGGCCCAAACAAGATTGTATTGCCAGACCCTGCGCACCAGAAATCGCTATGAGCACTCCAGTTGAATCTGTTCAAACAAGTGTCCGGGAGATTATGGGCAACTCGTCTCAAATATCGGTTCGTCATGTCTTGGTAGGTCATGTTAGAACTACTTCTTTGACCTGTGTGACCCCACCCAGTTTAGGAACGGACTGGCCGATGGAGATGCTTCCAGCGTCGAAATACAACTATTCGATTGGCGTGCGTGGTGAGAAGAGCCCTCTGAATGAAGCGGAGGAAGAGATTCAAGCTCTGGCCAAATGGCTTTACGCTTCAAATGTTTTGAAGACCGCGGACCACCGCGTCGTTGTGAGGGAAGAGCTTTGCTATGTGGTGACAACAGATGTGTTGTATTCGAACCCTTGGGAAGCCCGTATCCAATGCTTCGATATTCGAAATCAAGAGAACATAGTGGTCTGCTTCACGCTGGCAAACTAAGATGCGAACAGAGTGGAGAAAAATGACACTTCGGTTTCACCGCTGGAAAGAGGGAAGGGGAGTGTGTGTGTGTGTGTTTGGAATTGTTTGGATCTTCGAGTGGTGTGGTGTATTGGCACTTCAAAACTTAACTCTTTAACCTGAAAATGTCAAACTGAAATCTCCCAAAAGGCTCAATTTCAGTAGCACTTGTGCTGTGCACATCGGTCCTATTTTTTCATGGCCATTTCCAGCAAACAATATTGCTTCTGATGGAGGTATACTTGCTTGACATGACAAGCTCCACAGCCAAAGCCCTAGATAGATAGCAAGACCCCAGACAACAGGAACATCACATATGACTGAGTATCGCCACGTCCGCTCGATTATGCAGTACGGTCTCCTTCCCGGAGGCGTCAGTACAGCCGGCAATAAGCAGCGTAACATGAACCACTTCCTGCCGATCGACGGACTTCTGGTCTCTTATGAACACATTCGACCAACGGCCAATGTGATACTCGTCTTGTCTAAGGCAACGCTGGAAAAGCATCCAGAGCTCATGGAAGATTTTAGCCTGAGCAAGAATGGATACTTTTTGACCAAGGCCATTATTCCGGCCGGTCTTTTCAGTCTTGCAGGACATCCGGAACAATTGCTGTGTGTCAACTAAGCTGTGGGATGTCCCAGACTCCACTCCAGCCATGTCAGTCCCCGATGAGCCGTACTTGCGTTTTTATTCTCAGCTCTATTGCGAGGTACTGAGGCTGGTAGGCAAAGGCCACGATAAGTTCAAGACTGAAACAAGGCGGCTTGCATTTAAGAATATTAAGATTCGCGAGGTCGAGGCATGGCGTGATGAGGCCGAAGAGAAACTTGAGCGCCATCAGCTCCACGGCATGTCCAAGATCCACACTGAGACATGGCTGAATTTTCTCTCCCTCGACGACGACTGGAAGGATGAAGCCACCAACATGCGTCGTCTCAAGAAACGCTCGTTGTCGGAAACGACCGAGGAAGAGGGAGATGACCTGATTGATGTCGATGATGACGACGACATGGAGGTCGATGCCGACATTCCGGCAGACGACGATGATGAAGTTCAGGTCATAAGTAATTTAGACGCAGCCATGGTGGACGACCTCGCAGAAGCATGCCAGAAAGGCACCTGGGTCAAGAAAGGCACTGTGAAGAAGGAAGAGTCCGATATGCCGGACGATCCTTCAGCAGCAGCCTCATCGTCTGCAGCAGTCAAGAAAGAAGAGAAGCAGAGCACAAGGGTCTGGTCCTCCCGTGCACGGTCACGAACCCCGTCTCGTACTGTCCTTAAGAAGGCTGACCATGCGCCGGGAGCCGCCCGCACTCCATCCGAGGGTCGCAGAGTTTCGTTTTGCGATATTCCGGAAGCAACATCCAAGAAGCGTGCGACATCGCGGGCGCGGGAGTGCGGGAGGTCATCAGCGATGCAAGGAAAGCACAGAAAGCACCAACTAAGTTCCATCATCGCCCAGATGAGATGACCTGTTTGACCTGCGCAAATGCTGAAGTACTCTTCTTCTGCAGAGCATGTCGACATGGAACATGCCTTGACTGCTACCACGATGTAAGTAACCATTGTTCCTGCAACAGCATTTATCTCTGTTCGACCGTCCCAGACGCCGATATTCCGGCACCGCTGGGTGAGCACGAGCGCGAAGAGATCACTGCAGAAATTGATTTCACGATTCCCTTCGCAGCCGAATCCGAGGGTTGGCACCCGGACGACCGTCATGTCGGTCGATTGCACCGTTTGCAAGAAATCAAAGATCTTGTTCTCGGTGGCGGCTCAACAGGTTATGCCGCGATGGATCGAATTGTCCTTGAAGGAGTCAGCAAATACCATTACACGAACCATCCAACCTACAAGAGCCGTACCATTCCCTCGATTGCTCAACATTGGGACGAACAGTCCGATGTGGCACCATACCCAATCATTCGGCCAAGCTGCTATTACGACTCCAATCGCCGATATACCGGCGCGGAGATGCGACAGATTGTCGAGTTAAGCCGTTCGTACATGCAGGGATATCGCGCGAACCAGGGAGTATTTGACCTCGATGAAGCACGACTTCTCCGGTCGACTGAACACGTCAGTGTCTTGCTTCTGAACTTCGGCGATATCAATCGTACACCTCACTTCAACGGTAGGCAGCCACTATTCAGGGATCTCGCCGAGACCGATCAATACGCTGTGCTTCCACATTACCTTGTCAGGAACACAGCCCATATCACAATCCTTCTTGAAGCCAACGGCATCGAGCATCATCGAGAGCTCTTTAACCAATACAAATGCCTGTGCGTGTTGGCTACAGCGGATGGCGAATCTCCTGCTATCGCAGCAGTCTGCTCCAGTGATCCACTTGGCACTTCAAGGCTGGAGCTCATCCGTAGGATTGAACTTGAAGGCGAACGATTAGCCTGGGTAGCCCATGCAGCGACATTCCGCGTGCTCTGGGGAAAGGTCGAAG